CTTGTTTGTGATGTCCGAGTTATTAAATGTCACTACACTAATTTCCCTTGCACTTACGAACAGGACAAGATGGACCGGAGGAGAACTTGTGAAATTTACCACCTGAGGAACCTTGGACGCCCACGAACTGGCTTCATGTTGTGTTTTTAGTACCATTAGGGAGGACACGGGTAGTAGCCCACTAGGGTCCGAACGCCTGGTTCTCCCCCAGCAGCTGCATCAGGTTTCACCACCTGGTCTTGCAGAAGGCTGGTCCGCGACGGACGGACCTCACGTAGATCGAAGTGTCACCCACCGCTTCAACTAGAGGGGCTTGTGTAGTGACCTGGTGATTTCCCCCGGTGTGATTGTGTAAATTAAAGTAAAACAGTTATTAAGTAAAGCTTTTCATGTATTAGGGTATCATGCGGTTCGGTTGTCCAAGCTGTTTGAGCCCCTTTGTTTGAGGCAGCAACACCACACACATCCTTGCCAACCGCGACCTCCACACGCATCTACATGCATGCACGCACTCCACCGGCAGATACATATTCCTTAACTAGCTTTCCTCCGGTGCCTTATTTTTAGCAATAGGTAACTGTTCCCCCGTCAAATATACCCTTTTCCGTAGATTACTTCAGTGTGTTCTATCTATAGTCTGTGGTTAGCTGCGTTGCCCTGGTTCGTGCTATTGCGGGGCATCCAGGAGTGGAATCCGCGCGGTAATCACGCATGGCATTGCTTCTACAGATGTGACGCTCTGGGATTTCTGCGTGGTCAGTTACACGCATGACGAGTTGTCCCAGGTGAGCACAATAAGCAGTAGGTGGCTGCTGGAAGACGGGCAGCATGGCATTTTGTCCAACCTTCTCCTCTTTGATTACCATCAGGCGGTGAGGGAGCACAGTTACCTGCTTTCGGATTGCAAAAGGTTTCCCGTGACCGTGCTTCATCGTACAGGTAAGCACACTCATTTAATCAATTGCAGTGCATTTTGATGATGCACGCCACGTAGAGAGGTCGTTCGCGGTTCGACCTCTTGCCACGGACACCGATTGCACCATCCTCATGCAAACATCGCCAAAACGAGTTATGTAATGCGCTACACAAGTGATAAGGCAATGCATTGCAGACGCTTGCCAGCAAGACTACGGGACTCTGAGCATGATAATCCACCCACAAAGAAAAGACGCACCAATGCTTCCTCAGCCGCAAGCTATGGGAAGTACCCCGAATTCTCGTTAGAGGAGTTGGCGCGGCCTAGCACGCCTACTCATAATCTTGATGCGTCGAGGAAAATGCCGACATGCTTAAGTTCTTATGATATATTAAAC